CATCTTCTTCGTCATCGTCATCCTCTTCCTCCTCTTCCTCTTCTACCTCTTCTTCGGCTTCATCCTCCTCTTCCTCCGGAGTTGGGTTGAATCCTTGCCTAGAGCCGATTCGCGGCCCATAATTCGCGGATATCTGGCCGCTCATTAGTGCACTTGCATCCGAGTGCACCGGCATCACATCACCACCGCCTACAGCCATCGCGTCAAGCAGACCTTCGACTTTTACATTTGTGGCTGCCTCAAGACCGAGCAACGGCGAGAGCGCGAGTCCCGAAGTGAGGCATCCAAAGGGAGAGTCGCTCGTGGTTGTGGTGGCCAACGTGAGCGACAAATGCTGGTGTGCTTCTGAAGTAGCATCGGCATTCAGGCAATAGGCACCGTTGGGAACTGGCGCCTTCAGTCCGGCCGGGCGCAGGGAAGAGGCTGGAGGCAATTGGGTGTGCGAGTGTGCATGACCCATACCGGGTGTGTGTGTTCGCACTTGCGGAGGCGAAGGAGATATCATGCCACTGACGGGATCCTGAAGAAGACAGTGTCCAGACGAGCCAACCAGATGATGCGATGCCAGCGGCAAAGGGGATAGTCGAGTCTGGTAGCCCGAACCGCTGCTGGGGGTCATTTTGCCGGGCAGAGGAGGCGACCAGCCGAGGTCGACGCCGTCTGGCTGTCCGGGAAAGCCATTCCCCGAAGGACTGTCGAAACTGGCACTACTACTGCTGCTGCTGCTGCCGCCGCCGCCGCCGCCGCCGTTACTATTCCCAGCAGTACTGCCACCGCGAAGGTTGCCTCCGTTGTTGGACGGGTTGGAGCCGGGTGTGCTAATGCCGGCATGGCAACCGCCTGAGAGTTGATGCAATTGGTGGGGAGGCGGTATGGAGCCGGGGTGACCGGACAGGCTTTGCGCCAATTGAGGCAATTGTAACTGGCCTGAAAGTGGCAGAGACTGATGAAGCTGTTGCTGAAGTGACAGTTGGCCACGCTCTGGATGCAGTTGAGTGAGTCCAGTGTGGACATGATGCGTCGAAGGTTGGTGCTGGAGCATGTGCTGGTGTTGGTCGTTGGACAATTGGTGCGTGTAAAAGAGAGCCAGGGACGAATGGTTGGTCACGGCCGTCGAGCCGACGGGCTGGCCAACACCACTTGGATCCACCTGATCCCCAGAACACTCGGGACTGGCGGCAGACACGGAGTCTCCGGTTGCCAGGGGACTTGTGTCGGCGGTCGTGGACAAATAAGATGTCGGGAAGCCGACAAGTCCGGCTGTTGAGGCCTGCAGATGAAAAGAGGGTGAATGCTGCTGGTGGTGCTGTTGATGTTGTTGGTGTTGTTGGTGCTGCTGGTGTTGGTGGTGTTGACGCTGTTGATGAAGATTGTGTTGTTGAGCGTGTGAAGGAAGTGGTAGTTTGGCCGGATTCTGAAGGTGCGGTTGCGGTGATCTCGAATAAGCGAGAGCCTGTTCACCAGACACTTGGCCCAGTGAAGTATATCCAATTCCAGTCTGGTTTGAGGTGTAGCGTGCCGGTGAAGTGGTGAGGGTGGAGACAGAAGAAGAGGCAGAGGAAAAAGGAGATGATGCCGCGGGGATCGAGTGAGAAAACCCTCTCGACACACTTGGAAAGAGTCCCGTTTGACTGTCAACCGGACTTAACAGGCCGCCGGGCACCTGGCACCGAGTGTTGTCGCGTCCGTTCACCTGCAACAAACCCAAACTGGAACAAACAGAAAGATTGTACTCGTAACTGCTTAAGGCACTACTGTTGCTACTGCTATTGCTGCTACCATTGCTGTTGTTGCTATTGTTGTTGTTGTTGTTGCTTGGAATGACTGTTCCGGCAGGTGTTGTCGTCTG